CTGAACTTACCGCTTTCTCAAAATCATTTGACATTCCCATACTCAATTCGACATCCTCAAGGCTAAGACTTAGTTTCTCACAAATATTCTTACGACAATCAACCAAACGCTGAAAAGAAATCAATAAACTGAAGTTAAAAAGTCACATTGGACATGAAGCAAACTGGAGCATGCAGTGTAACTCTGTTTAGTTATTCTAGTATTCAGTGATAATATTATTTATTCATCCTTTTTAATTTCAATCCCCAGGACAATGTTGAACACGTCATTAACATTGCTTCATTTTGATGAACTGGCATCATTCCTAACATAAGCTTGAACAGTCACACTTTTGATCCAAGAACTTGTTTAGTACAGCCAGCTTACTCATTAAACAAGCATACTAGGGTTGCAAGGTGATGTTACAAGCAGTTATATTTCAACATTTCATGGTGAAAAAGGCTACTCAGCCAAATACTGGTGGAACTTTCCAAAGATTGATGTGCTGCATGTTGTTACAAAATTCTGCATTACTGGGGCTGACTCAATTTCTGCATAGACTATACATTTTAAGCCATTTACCTTTTGGCTCCTAAGGGTGACTAGCTACTAATTTCTCCTTACAATATCACCCCTAAATCAAACAGTAAGGTCAGGAGAATAAAGGAAATGATCACCCGCTAGAGTAACTCCTGATTATTACACAAACTCTCCTTGTGTGCACCTCAGAAATTGTATTAGGAAACAGAATGGAGAGTATATAAACTGATGTCAAGTTGTAAAAGGGTTTGAACACCCTTGTATTGCACATTTCAGTAACCTGAGAGTGAAAATGAAAAATGAAAGAAAGACATTTTCTAAATCTGCTTACAATGAAATCAGGATTTGGACCTTGACTCCAGTCATGATTCATTTCCCCAATGGTCATCAGTCCTGAAAACTCTAAGTGTGGACAGTGGGTGATAATGTGTTCCACAAGCTCTGCACAATGATCACTTAAGCATCCACTCTTACCTGAAAAGAAGTTAACATACAGGTAAGATTCAAGAAAACTCAGTGCCCCTTTCTGTAAACTAAGTTTTGTTGAATACTGTGTTAGTGGAGATAAATATGACCCACTAAATTCAGAGTTTGTTTGAATTTAATCTCCTTCCTCAACTTGAACCCAAATTTATGGTAAATATCTATAAGATATACTTTGGGCTATGGAACCGGGTTTCTGTTGTTTGCATTTATGGCCTTATTGCCTCATGCTTGGGCCATAAATCTGAGAGGAAAAGTTTAGTAACCAATCATAACTTACAATTTGGATCTTAAATTTTGTTAGTACAAGTTAATTACTTCTCTGTACTCTACAAGTCAAAGGAAGAGAACCAAACATGTCCACCTGTTCAACATGAACATGATCAGCACGCAGAAAGCAGAGCCCATTCCAATGAATAAGTTAGCTTACTGTCCAATGATAGTAGCTATGTCATTGTCAGTTTTGTTGACAGATTAACATTGCTAGTAGGAAATACTAAGTTTTTACAAATATAAGAAGAAATATGAAATTACTCTTCATTATAAGCCGAGAAACAGTGGCACTAACTTTCTTCTTTGCTTGTATTAACTTGTACCATAACATTTAGAGAATTGGGCTTGTTTAATTTTCCCCAGGAGGCATTTAGAGAGTTGGCGAGCTTCACACTGTCCACAGTCTCCACCATGTAAAGGTTGGTCACTCCTGCATGAAAGCAAACCGAAAATTTAAAATCAAAATTGTTTGTTTGAATTCAGTCCACTTAACCCTTTCAATCCTGTGACAAACAAATAGTTTCTCCATACAATACCAATACATTATAATGCTGACTAGTTATGAAAATAAAGAAATATATCAACTAGGGCACAATAGGTAAAATTTGTACTCAAACCGAGTGACCCATGCCACCAGAGTTTATCCTGGTTTCCCTTGCGTGAAGTGACAAGGAGTATTACCATTACCCCCTGGATGGGATGTCAGTCCATTGTAAGGTAACCCTCAAGTACTTCATCAGGCTTCCCTGACAATTCACTTGTACCCACTTATACCCCAGGTAATCCAAGGTTAAAGTGAAAATTTTATATCTGAAAGTTTTAAAAGAAAATTCAATTTGAATTCTTTTGTCTACAATTTGATGATTGCTAAAAATAAAGAGAAAATTTTCCCACAAATTTAATTTAGATACGATGAATATATGAAATTCATACATTTTAAACTGCCGTTATAGATACGTATGATGCACAATCCTCGCAGTAGAGAGCGTTATTTATGCAATAGCAAAAATCAGACCTGAAAAAAAATCAGGCCTGTATGGGATTCGAACCACTGACCTCTGCGATACTAGTGCAGCACTCTACCAATTGAGCTAACAAGCCAACTGGGAGCAGGCCGTTAAGTTGATTTGTAATAAACCTGTGATGATAAATCTCTACTGCGAGGATTGTGCATCTACATAGTTTTACGTATCTATAACCGCAGTTCAAAATATATGAAATTCATATATTCATCGTATCTGATTTATCATCACGGGTTTATTACGAATCAGCTTAACAGCCTGCTCCCAGTTGGCTTGTTAGCTCAATTGGTAGAGCGCTGCACTAGTAT